TTTAAAGGCTTATTCACCAGACAACCAAAGCTCAGTCACTCAATTAACAAAATGGTGTAAAACAATGCAAGACAATCTTGGAGAAGAAATTAAACGAACAAGGATTATTCAATTATCTGCAATTTCTCGAGAATTAACTGAAAAAGATGATTTCATTCTAGCTGTTCCAGGAACTTATAAACCAAACGAACCTATTAACCATATTAAATATTTTGTTGGTCAATTTTCTGTTTACATGTCAAAGCAGCAGCCGAAAGATGTTGTGATTAAAGGTGAAGATGGAATCTTTTACCAATATTTATTAAAAGGACACGAAGATTTACGTTTGGATGAACGTATTATGCAATTCTTTAGAATGGTGAACTCTCTTTTACTGAAAGACTCTTCATTAAATTCACATCCAATTCAAACTGTCTATGTTGTACCACTTTCCATTTCACATGGTTTAGTTCAATGGGCCACTGGAACTGATACATTAAGAGCTATCATTGAGCAGTACCGTCGCCTTCATTCCAGAGATCCACTAGAAGAATATATGCTATCTGATGACTTTGGAAATGGTGCTTATGATTTCTTATTACCAATTCAGAAAGTTCAAATTCTTGAAAGGATTTTCCATGAAATTCCTGATACTGACTTAGCAAACTTCTTCTGGCTTAAGGCACCAAGTGCTGATGTTTGGATGAAACAAGTTCAAACATATTCAATTTCTATTGCAATCACATCAATTGTTGGATATATAATTGGTCTTGGAGATCGTCACCCTTCTAATTTATTATTCGACAGAAACACAGGAAAAGTTGTTCATATTGACTTTGGTGATTGTTTTGAACGCGCTTCACATAGAAAATATTTACCTGAAGTTGTTCCATTCCGTTTAACAAGGATGATGGTGAAAGCTTTAGGTGCTGGTGGTGTCGAAGGCGAGTTTAAGACATCATTTGTAAATATGGCAAACTTACTTCGTGCAAACAAGCAAGTTCTCGAAATGGTTCTTGCTATTTTCGTTCATGAACCGTTAATTGATCCTGATTATGCAGATGATGGAGCCTCAGATAACGAAAAGAATTATCCAATGTCGCCTTTTACTTTGAAAATGAGCGCCCTTTCTGAAGATACTTCGCCAGTAAATAATTCAGATGATTATCATGATACATTTACATCAAGCGAAGAAATGAGAATTCGTATTAGACAAAAAATTACAGGAAGCTGTTGTATTGAAGGTACAACACCGCTTTCTGCTGAAGAACAAGCAACAAAATTAATATCTGAAGCAACTGATCTATATACACTTGGTAAAATGTATAGTGGATGGTGTCCATTCTGGTAATATAATTATGGTAATATTTTATCATCTTACCATATTCTCAATATAAAATATATTCCTAGTTTTTCATTTATATCTTGTTTATTTAGAAACAATCATTTTTATATTTTCTTTTCTTCTTAATAAAGTTTAATGAGATAATATATGTCGTATTTCCTGAGTGTCTCTGTAAATTTTATTTTTAATGATAATGCTAATAATTAATGACATAAATATTAAGAAATCTAAACTTTGTAAACGATACGACAATTCTCTCTAATTTGTTGATATGTTTCCTCCTTAGAAATTTCTTTTGTTTTGGCTATTTCGTCAAGAATAGTTGGAATTAATGCAGGTGTAGTAAAACGCTGCTGATATTGTGGTGGTGAAAGATAAGGAGCATCAGTTTCGGCAAGAAGGTGATTTAAAGGAATAAGCTTGCAGATTTCTTTTATATGTAGCGATTGAGGATATAAAATTTTACCAGTGATTCCAAAATATGCATTTGGCCAATTCATTAAAACATTTTCAGCAAACTTTAATGATCCAGAAAAACAATGAATATGAAAAGTATGATTTTTTGGCATAAATGATTTCAATATGTCTAAAGTGTCATCATCAGCATGACGAGTATGAATAACAATAGGAAGTTTCCTGGATAAAGCTATTTCTATTTGTTTAATAAAAACATCTTTTTGGATATTAATTGTTGAATTTCCTTTATATCGATCAAGTCCAATTTCGCCCAATGCTTTTGTTTTGGGATGATTTAAATAAAAATCTTTTAATTTCCTTTCATAATCATTGTTATAATATTCTGCACGTAGTGGATGTAATCCTACTGCATAATAAACATTAGGTAGATTTATATCCATTAGTTTATCGAAAGTATTTAAATTATCTGATGGGATAGAAATACAGCCATCAAATCCTGTTGGAAACTTTAGTGAATCTTGTGCTAGACCTAATGTTATATCAAAACCCATTTTTTCTATTGTTTTATCCAAATGACAATGTGAATCAAAATATCTGTGAATCATGAAATATGGTGAACGTTTAAATATTTGAATTGAAATATGATTATATAATGTCTGAAAAAGTTTTTACACTCAAACTCTATTTCCTAGAATTCACCATTTATGCATAATCATACATTAATCTTATTGTAGAAAAAAAATTGATTTTCCTAGGAAGAAGAAAAAAAAATTGAAAAAAATAATTTAGTGTAATATTGTTTATAATTGGAGAGATTAAATATTACGAATGACAAACCTTAATGATGTCCTCAATACTTCTCTATTCTTTTATTTTATATAAATATAATCGATCTTAAATCACTTTCTGAAAATAAAAATTTCGAAAACAAAAACTGAAAAAAATCACTTTCGCATAGATTCAAAAAGCTCGGCAACTTCAACAAGTGATGGAAGAACATAAGTCGGTCGATCACTTTCTGGTGTCTCATCCACATCCTTCTGCGTGTCAATTCCTGACAGCACTAAAATCGATCTCGCGCCGTGATGCGACGCAAAAGCGATATCTGTAATGATTCGATCGCCAACCATGATCACCTCATCTTTCGTCACACCGAGAGTTGTCAGGACAGTTTCGAACATTGGGTCTTCGGGTTTCCCGATCAGTGTAGCTTTAACGCCAGTCGCCTCTTCGAACGTCCGGGCGCACGCGCCACTGCCAGGAATGAGGACCCCGTGGGCGAGCGGGAAATTCGGGTCCGGGTTTGTTCCAATGAGCCTAGCACCAAACTTGATCACCAAATCGATGCCTCGTGAAATTTCATCGAATGTAAACGTTTCACTTTTTGAGATGACGACTGCATCAACTTTTTGTGGTTCTGGATCGGTTTCTATTGTATGGACTTCAATTCCATGAAGGCGAAGTTCCTCGACGAGACCGTTAAAGCCGCAAACGAACACATTTTTAATTCCATGCTGTAAAAGATACATTGCGGTAGCGTAGCCTGATGAAAAGACGTCTTCGACATTGAATCCTTGGAGACCCATTCCTTGCATGAATTTGAGGTATTGAGCTTGAGTTTTGGAGCAATTATTTGTAACGAGGACAAGGCGAACGCCCATAGAATTGATTCGATTGAGTGCCTCAATGGAGCCTTTGATTGGGACTTTGTCAATCCAAATTACACCATCTCCATCAAGAAGAAGAACTTTGGGAAGCGACATGTTGATGATTTATGAATTTTTCACTCTGATTTTCTGTGTATATCGTATTCTATATATAAATGGTCATTATTGTATTGAATTTTATTAGCGACGACTAATTATGTTCTGAAAAAGAAGTAAAAATCTAACGCTGATGATATCACTTTTGAGGAGTATTATTTTTTCAATATATATCTGATCAGAAAAATCATTTCCTTCATTGGTGAAAGATAAACTTTTTCGACCTTTGTCATCAAAAGTGACGACAAATTTAATTTCTTTGTATCATGTATATTTCACCTATGTTTTGACCATGACATATCATTTCTAAATGCCACCACGACGAAGTGTTCCTCAAAAAATATGGGACCTACCAATGACCTGGACCCATGAAGAGCAAGACAATTATTTAAGCATGACAGAATCAAAGCAAGATACAGCCGACGTGAATAAATATTTAGAAATAAGAGGGCCTGTCCCATCGACAATGTACAATAAGCTCGTCCAAATGCAAGTACAGATAGATCCCAAAAAAGATCGCTTCACTTTAAAGCAATTTAAGATGATATTCCAATTAATGAAAACACTCTTCCCAGACGACAATCGCTTTCGAATTCGAACTCACCTTGTACAGCGCAACGAAAAGATGATGAAAATCTTTCTCGAGGACTTCCAGAATGAAGTTTCCTATACATTGGATTATTTCAAAGTGAAATTTAATGGGGCGCGATGGGAACTATCAGAAGGGGCAGAGGCTGGGGTCATACAGCTGGCAACCATGCGGCTCCAGCGGGGAATTCCAGATATGCAAACACCAAATATTCCGCAAACCCCCCACACGCCATCTGTTGGGCAATTCACTCCATTTATATACCCAGGAACACCTCAGCCAACCCCAGTGACACCCCCACAGCAGCCAAATCAAGCTAATGATATAAATTCCTACTTTTCCCAACAAACTCAACAGCCAAATATTCAGTCAAATGTGAAAATGAATGCTCCAGATTATGGGCCAAATATGAATTCAATTGTACAGCCAAATATACAGTCAAATATTTCATCAACAGAATTTCAAATGAGTGATTCACAAGAAGAATCTGATGGATTTTTGTCGCTTTTCCCGCAAAGTGACGATTCGTTTGATATGATGACGTGGCCAAATGATTTTGATGATCAAAACCAAGATGATACGTATGATAGTTACTTTGGATATTGAAATTACCTTTTTTGTGTGATTAAAAATTATAATTTATGCTTCATTAATAATGAATTACTGAATTTATAGTAACTATATTGAATCATTATTCAAATTTTTATCAATTCAGAATCTTTTTTTAGCAAATGCATATTGTAATATAATTTGAATTTCATCTTCTGTTCAACTAAATTTGTTATATCATAGAAATGAAAATGAAGTCTTTTAGATTTGATTCGTGAAAAAGTCATTTATCAAGCAATATATCGAAAATTAATGCTTAGAATTAATTATCAAAAACTTTATTAAGGCGGGAAAGCAAGTGCCACTGGCCCAATGGATAAGGCGTGTGCCTACGGAGCATGAGATTCTAGGTTCGAGTCCTGGGTGGCACGGTTTTTTTGATTTCAATTTTTTGATCTTGATTTCACCTTGAATGATATATTTGGTATTCTATATTGCCTATCGAGAATAAAAATGAATGCCCAAGACTTAAATTATCATGATAGGTGTACGTTTAATTTTTCTAATTCTCAGGTCGCACAGTTCCAAGATTACTTGGGGGATGGGATTCATCACCAGATGAATATGAAGCATTAGGATACACTATTGGTTTACCACCTGGATTTTATCTTGAAAATGAAGACGACCAAAGAGTTAAAAAATAAGCAGAATTCATGAAATCACATTGGAGTGATTTAAATGCTGGACCATCAAATATTAATACCGAATTAATTCATGATATGCGTGGTGCAATAATTGATATTCGAAATTATCCTAACAACTTTTCTTAATATGAACTAAAAGAATCACTCGAATTTAACATGAAATGTTTTATTCCCTCTTATGAAGGTGGTGGAATAACTTCTCTGCAATTTGATAATGATGGAAAAACTTGTCACATATTTTTCAATAATGAGGAAATAGCAAGAAAATTTATTCAGTCATATGATTTATTTAAAATTGGTGGACGCGAAGTTGTAATACCAACAAAAAATTTATCATTTGAAGATATCAATCCTTTTCATTCATTTATTCGCACATCATTATGTAATGTTATCATCAATGGAAATATCAATGATGATGAGCTTCTTTCAAAATATCAAAATATTTATAAGATTAATCATATGGCTTCGAATATTACAATTGTCACATTTCAAACAATTGAAGATGCTTCAAATTTTGAAATAAAAACAAAACAAATTTATGATGCAGCTGTTTTAAACTTTCCTCCGCCAAATAGCACGACATACAGATATAATGATCCTAATAGTTTTGACAATGGAAATTCATTTTATAAACAGAATAGAAGAAATATGCCATTTAATTCTGTAACTACTATTTCAGAAAAAGATTTATCTTTTTCATCTTTGTTGGACGCTGGAAAAAACCTTGCCAAATTGGTTGAAGCGGCAAATTTACCACGTGCTCCAAATCTTAAAACTCTGAATATTTTTAATGTGGTTGATCGAAGTATTGTAGAGAATAATGATGCTTTACAGATAGTCTCTAAAGACATGCTGCTATATTGTCAACATTTTGGGAAAGTGTTAAACATTCATATAAACAAACCGAAATATGAATATGAAAAATATGGTGTAATACAAATTCTTTTCTCTAATTCACTTGCTGCACATAATTGTCAAATTGATATTGCTGGGAAAATCTACTTAGGGAATATTGTGATAACACAATTATCTTAATATTTACCTCTGTTTTCTGATCCTTGTTTGTATATTGTACTATCTTTAATAATAATTCGGAATTACAAAATAAAATAAAATAAAATAAATAAGTTTATAAATTTTATTAATAACATGTATCTTATATAAAATATTATGGAAAAACATACACTCGCACTATGGACCTCTGAGTCAATAAACATTAATTTAAGATCAGTGAGCTTCATCATTGTTAATTTCTTCTTCGCTGACTTCATCCATGTCAAAAGATACTTTTTGGCGATATGATGATTCGTAAAATACATAATCAGTATTTTGTTTTGGAGGCTTATGTTTGTTAGGCAAAACCTCTGCGTTTTTTCCAGGTTCATTGGAATCAGACTTGGATAAATTTTCGGTTGGGGCTTCTTCATTGGAATCAGATTGATGAAGTCCATCTTCAGGCAAATTATTGCTTTCTTCATCATTCATTATTTCATCATTTGTTGGTTCATCATTTATTGATTCATCATTTGTTG